AGAAAGCATCATTCAATAAAACTTATGAATACACAAACTCATGGTCTACGAATAAGATGACATCTCTTAAGTTACCGACGCAAGCCCGGCCCGATGCATCAGATTCACAAGATGACCATAGGAAGAACTCTTCTCACAACTCCGTTACCACCCATCTTTTAGAAAGCAATTTAATTATTGGAAGAGTGTTCGAAACTCATTTTCTTCTCATAACTACCATCCACCTATTTTGGCTTGTTAGTGCCGAGCTTTCTTTTTTCACATAACATCGCTAAGTTTGATACGAGGCATTTGTCCTTTTCATTCATATCCACTCGAAGGCAAGACAACTGAGCACGACTGTTTGTATCCTTCCGCTCGTCTGCCTTCTTCAGAATTCCTGATTGACAGAACTATCCGACCGATCAGTCGGCATGTCCGCGACTTTCTCACGCAGCAGAGTGAAGTAAAACTGCCTGAATGGGCTATTCTCCTCCCGATCTTCTCTGTATGCGCTTCCGCCTCTGCCAGTCTGGAGCTCGATCCCTTGCAATGATTGGTGCTGTTTTAAGCAAATTGAAGCTGGAACAAATTAATCGAACCCCATAACATTAGAAGTTTTGTAATAGTGAAGCGTGTCTACCCTGCTCGAAGTAAAGGAAGAGGGCAGCTCCATTTGTGCTGGCTTCATAATGCAATTCTCTTCAGCTTTTCGTTAAATTAATATGCAAATTTATTCGAGAGTTCTTTCCTTTAAGTTATTTTTTCGAAAATTCGACAATAGCACGGAATTTAAGTAACGTCGCAAATTGGCATAAAAGAAGTTTTCTTTAAGAACTGTATTTACTTTATTTCGTTTAAGGTGATGAAGGACTAGTAGCCGAATGTTTCCAAAATCAGATGAGTAGGCCTCACGTTTCTACTGAATTTTACCCGTGGCCGTGTGGCACAGTATTAATATGTCCAAAACCTTGCGCGCCAAAAGCTCAGTCTCAAATCCTTTTGGGGGAGCTGATGAGACGAGTAGGCAAAGCTGAAAATTCAGTCTAGGCCTGGGGAGAGGAACATTTAAGAGGCCATTTTTAGGTAATATAAACGGAATCGTGAGGCTAGCTGATATAATTGCGTCAATAACTTCAATCGCAGACCTTAACTCGAATAAGTTTTATTCAATCTTGGTTTTATGCGATGAAGGATTGCCAGTTTGACTTTCCCGTAATCAAGTAATTAGGCATAAAGTTTCCAGTGCATTTCGCATATCTTTACTTCCAGACTGGATTGTAGCGTCGACCGTGACTCTCAGCGGAAATCTACTGTGCTATTATAGTGTATATTATTGACAAAATAACATGTTTTTTATTCAATGGAAACATGAAGCCTGCTCATATGATTATGGGAAAATTTGACTGTCAGTACCTCATCAACTTATGCGACCTAAGGTGACCAGAACTCATATTAACCATTTACCGATAGCCTCGAAAAGCCGAATTAACTGAATATAAATAAGGTCTTAATATGTTATAAACACGAGGTAGATATGACCAAATCAAGCTGATTGCTGGCCGATCTCATTTAAGAAAATGTATGCCAACAAAGCATCCACATAACATAAAAATTAGCGTGTAAAGTTGAGTATTTAACGTTTTGCTATTTCAAACTTATATGGAATATATATTGCTTTTGCTGTATCTACCTACAACTTGGACACCAATGACATTTTTGTATGTGCCTCGAATAATTACATTGTTGGTAGCATTGTTTTTAGGACAGACAAGAATAGCTAAGTAGTTTAATGAGCTCCATGAAAAACTTTATAAATGCGCTTTTACTTCAGATCATTTGGGATGGAGATGAGCTCAAGCCAGAATAGTAAAGGTAGGCCTTTTTATCTTATGCTCTAGGAGAGATATTCAAGTGCTTAATTGTTTAACAATCACTCTGGGAAAATTTGTCTCTTCAAAACCGTCGCTAAAGTGCCTAATTTTATCCAGACCAAGGATGGGCTTAAGGCACAACTTATCTTTCAATAAGTGGGGAAGCCATTTTGGTGAATATAATCAGTACATAAGGATCAAAATTGTGTAAACATTGCCTAGGTTATTATCACTTAAAGAATGGGTATATAATCGGTCAGACCTCGTTTTTGTAACTTGGTTGTGTTGTCAGGGCAATCTCGAGGACTTCACCTTATTCAATAGCTGCTAAAATCTAAATTATAATAGCTCGTTTTGAGTAGGTTTTCAAGACTACTACTAAATCAGATCTATGAGTTATGTTCACCATATTTCGTTTAAGATTATGAAAGACTGATAGTTGTATTTTCGCCCAATGATATGAGTAGAGCTGACGTTTTCATTGAATTTTACATAGCCTTGCTTTCCCAAAAGGTGTAAACTGCAGTTTTGATCTCGCCTAGGTCTTATCAACTAAAAGCTAAGACTAATAAACAAATCCCCCAATTCCAACTCTCTACTCAGTTTTTGCTGCAATCAGTCCATATCTCTTCTTTTGCTTGGAATGTATGAACTATGCCGTATGAGTCATTTGGCTTCTTGCGTTGGATTATGTCTTAAGTTTTATTGTGACATGACTTCCATTTTAAAGAAAAAGTTCGTTAAAAGGAATTTGTGAAATTGAAGGAGGGTTACCGCTTTTGGAGTATACAAAGAAATCCTCAGCTCTCCGTATTGTGATAGTGAGGAAATGTTCGTTCCAGGTCGGTAAACCGAGGACTTCATTGTAAACTGCAAAAGTATTTACTCCGTGGCAGTCCTCATTCGGCTTGCGGTGGGAATTTTTACGAATTCCTTACAACCCACCTTTTCCTCGAAATGAAATGTCAGGTCACAATAAATCGTTGTGGAATTCTTTGAAACCCGGTTTTTCTTCACAGTCTGAAATTGTTCTTAAAATTAGATCCCTCTATGCGATATCTTCAGAGTTACATCTCACATGAAAGCTAAGCCCATCTTCAGTGAAACTGAAGAAGAATATTATTAATAATTATAATTATAGCTTTGGATCAGTAGATCTATACGTACAACTGTGTTCACACTAGTTCTTTAAGCTGATGAAGGACCGATAATTGAATTTCCCACGATGCTATGAGTAAGTCTGACGTTTACATTGAATTTCACATGATTTTGCATCCGAAATGGTATTCTTATCCCGACTAAAGTGGACTGCAGTTTCGGCCTCGCCCAGGTCGCCATACTATAACCCACAGCGGGACTCGAACCCAGGAATATGCCGTCCTCTTAAAGAATGATATAAAATGTTTGAATATGAAATTATTATCACTGCCTCAATGTTTAATCAAAGCGCAGTTGTAGTTCACTTACAAAAGGTGTATTCTTCGAGATCTATGCGAGGGTACCAGTTTAACGGTCCGACATAAAAAATAAAGTCTGGGCAAGAAAAATTCAGCTAGGTCGCTTTTACAACATGATAATTTTGCGAAGTAAAACTTGTACTAATTCCTCGTGCTTCTCTAGAGCTCGTCCTCATCTAGACGGTTTGGCTTTCTTCTGCCCCAGAGCAGATATATTTTGAATAAGAGTCTATGCCTAAAAGCATTCAGCCGAACCCAAAGTTTAGAGGAAGTGGGCTCAACCAGTCATAGCATAAAGATTGCACTGGCTTACCACAAAATCAACTGGAATCCACCTGAAAGACTGGTTTCTTGCGGTGAAAATATAAGGAAGCAAAAGATAAGGAGATCCGTAGATATGTTTGTTCAATGAAACCTAATGGAAAGGAACTTTTAAGAGGTAAGATTCAACAAAAATTTCGCTAAGTGTTTAGTCTAACTGAAAAAATTTGGGATCTAGCACGGACAGGAAATAAACACCAAGGATATTATTTAAACTATATAAAAAGACATCGCCATGAAGAAGATTTTGAGGGACCTTTATGTGTTTGAAGTTCATGATCCAGTCCTAGAACATATTTACTCGGTATTGTAGCGATGCCTAGAGGCATATTTTTTGTTTCATGGTACACGAAGTTAATGATGGAGGACCTTTCATGACATATATACCTGACATCTACTGACCAAAGTACATATGAAGAATAGAGGGATGTAAGGTTACATGGCGAAGTTTGTCTGATCTATCGAAGAGACCGAAAAAGAAAATGGACTGTTATAATGTAAAAAGAATTGGGGTTTAAATCGAGGGTTTCAAACGTGACTGACGGATTGAATAGAACATGCTGTTGCGATAGAGTGATAACTGTGAAGTCTGAGCAATTGAGGATAAGAATAATTGAAAATGCAACAAAATTAAGAATCACAACTTTCATATTCATCCCCGGTGGTGGTCTAGTACGCGTTTGTGTTTACGTTAAAGGCCAGTTACGTGAACCACTTGTCGAATGTAAGTAGGTTCTTAAGACTACCAGTAAATCAGATAGACGAGTTGTAGTTTAATTTTCCCATAAGGATGGGAATAGACCTTACGCTTTCATCAAGTTTTAATAGGCTTGATTCTAAAAGGTATTCTCATACAGGATGGAAAGCAGTTTTTACGACAAATCTAATGATAGTCTTTAAAACCTACACAACAGAATGTGGTATGGGATTATGCTTGATTTTCCTTGAAATTCACATCTTTCCTTTTACACAACGGCATTCTTTGCAATTTAAGATGGTGATTAACATGTCGAGATGACACTCTTCAGTGTCATGGTTCGGGTCCCGATAGGAGTGCTGATGGGACCAGTTAAAGTGAGTTCGAACCTGGAGTCCACTCCTGCTTGGATGAGAATAGCTTTGGGAAGTAAGGCTAACTGTGAAATTCAATGGAAACGTACAATCTACTCATATTATTGTAGGAAAATTTAACTTTCAGTCCTTCGTTTCCATAAATCAAATAGGGTGACCAAATTTCATACAACTTGTCGATTGTAGAAATCAAGCCACTACAGGAAGGCATTTAGATGATAAATTGTGATTCATGGAAAGAAGGGATCAGTTGTTAGAAGTTGAGCGAAATGTATTGTTAGATGAAGCGGATCAAGAAGCTCTACCGATGGGATGGGAAGGATAAGTACTACGAAAGATGAAGATATACCACAACTTTTCAGCCCTAACTTATTCAAATTGATTGTTATTGCTAATATTTTTTTAATGAAGTGTAATTCGGGATCAACTCTGGATCTGAATTTGATGCCACCGACCCGAGGCTAGAAGAATAAATGGAAATAGTGTTAGAGGATACTGTACGGGATTCATTCTTCTAAACCGGCTTAACAACACGAATGAGCTAAAAAACAAAGTCTAAGCAACTCTATACAGTCACCATTTGGGTCTTCATAACTATGAAATGCCTAATGCTTTGAAAGTATTAATAAATCACAAACACGGATCAAATCGGGTCTTCGATGGAACTTGGTTAAGAGTCCTTTCATTTGCCCACGCTACTAGAATGCTTCACAGTAATTCCAAAGACACGAATACGAGAAGCTAAATAT